TATTGCAACTTTAAAAGTATGTGTCTGTGACAAGACTGACACATGAATCTAAACATAAAAGACAAAGTAGCGAAAATAAATTATTATTAATTATTTAAAGTTTCCAAATGTGACCATTAATAACAAAAAGTTTACATCTGTTCATTTAAATAAACATTTCACCCTGGTATCCTACATTAAAGGGGTCATGAACTGGCTTTTTTTTAATTTTATTATATTGTTGTCTGAGGTCAACTTATGACGTTCGCTTAGTTTTTGCATTCAAAAACATCAAAATGAATAAGTAATAATAGGCTATTTTGTGCCAAAGTTTTTATGGGCGTCTCTCACTGAAGACTTGAAAGTAAACGCCCACTGCTGTGAGAACAGTTTTGCATATTATAATGAGTCCCGTCGATGCATTGGGGGAAATTGTTTTGAAAACGTCCAATGTTGTAAAATGGCAACCGGAATGATTCGACCCAGAGTCCGTGTGTTGCAAAATTCCTGTCAGATTCAATATAAATGGCACAGCAGTGTTCTTTACTCTTAATCGGTCTGTAAATCCAGTCTTGTTTACAAAACAATCCTCAGTGAAATGAAGTGAACAGACGGACAATGTTTTACCTCATTAGCTGGAACGTCATGAAAAATAAAGTTCATCCATGCCGTCCTATTGGAATCCAGAGGAAGCATATGCAGCCACTGTCTTCTTCCACAACCAGGCACTGCACAATATTTTGTATTGCTCGCTAGTTAGCTCGATCAGGTTTGTCATCATGAGGTAGGTATCTATGTTATTTAGCTTAGCTATGCGTGTAATGCGCGAATCGGTTGTCGGGGCTTAACCAGCCGTGTTGAAGTAGGCGCTGATCTTCCTCTGCGGGGGTGGTGTTTTATCCTCTTTGACGTCATAGTTCCCCTCTTTGAAAAATTAGTCGTTTGCTGAGGCTGGTGTCAATAGCTTTTATTGGCCTAAGAAGGACATTTTCAGTTCTGAAATTCACAGGATATTCTTATAATATAATGACCTCTTAGATGTCAAAAGCTCAATGAAATTTTGATTTCTCAGTTCATCACCCCTTTAAAGTGCCAGTGGAAATCTCCAGTATAATTTAGGGAATCGGAAAAAAGAGCTTTCATTGAAGAGTACAAAAATACCTTGATCTAATTTTCTGTTCTTTAATAGCCACCAGACTTAATAATAGCTGTCCTGTGGATCATCATGTGTGGGTGTTTGTTTTCTTTCTCTGTAATTCACTGCAGGCTTCATTCCCCTCTCCTGTCAGTCACCAGACTGAATCCCATGTCCCTCTTTGAGACTGTAATCAAAGCCACCATCATCATGACTTCACAGCCTTCTCTCTTTCCCTCCCTTCAATCCAAATTATGATTGTCTGTATACTTTAAAGGTGAACTTGGCATCTCTAGCTATTTCTTCACCGATTTTCACTTTTGTTGTCACATGTTTTCTCATCAAGCTCCCCCTACAGCTGTGCAGCGTATATTTTCACAACACTGTCATAAAATAAACTCACTTGTGGCACCTTCTTCCCGCTTTCTACCGCTGCTAATGTGCATTGCTTATTGAGTCTACTGAGTGAGTAATACATCATGTACAGTATCATAGAATTGTGTTGAATTGCCATAAAGCAGTTCATGTTTCTCGCTCGTTCTCACTTTCCATGAGACTTCCCACTTACCGGGACATTAGTCCCCATGTTGCAAGGTTGGTTTTCCGCCTGGGGATGGTGTGGGGAAAGTCACCATTCTATCCAGAACAGGTTATTAAACCATCCAAATGATTTTTAAACTGTTTTATTAAGTTGGAATAATTGCCAAGTGCCCCTTTAAGTGAGTGAGTCATTTCTCATTTCCACTGGAATCAATACAAAATTATACGATTTCAAGATTCAGACGAGTTCAACCGATTCACTAAAAAGAACCAATTCCATTGAGTAATTTATTCACGAATTTTACTCATTGATTGTAAACAGACGTCTAACTGTTCAGTACCCTTCACACGTCTTTGTTTCTAACGCTATACCTTCAAACTAAAACTATCGCTATGTTGAAAAGTCTATAATAATAATAGCGCCAGCTGTTTGAAATACTCAGATGCTTCAACAATCTCTTGGGACACACATTTTTGGAGTTTAAGAACATTTGACAAAATAAATGAATCAAACCGTGAAAATCAACTATAAGAGGTTCAGCTATTTTCACAGATATTTTTGTTCTTGATGGCCTCAAAGTTCAAGTGTGAGAGTGAACAGTGCCATTGAGTGACTGCAGCATGACTGATCACATCTCTGTATCCAGATTGAGTCCATTTGACCCCTTCAGACCCCCTTTCTCCCAGGAGTGCCCCCAACCTCCAGGATAAGCCTGAAACGTGATCGAAGGGATTGTGAGGAGCAGAGATGTGAGGTGTACCTGAGACCCCGTCATGCCCATGCAGGGAAATATTATCCTGAAGGAAAGAGTGAAGCTCCCCGCAGCCTAATCCTTTACCTTAGCAGGTCCCAGATTATTCTCTGGGATGGACAAGAGTCTGACATGCAATCAATGATATATGCAATCACTGTCTACATGTGTTTATGTATTAGAGAGGAACAAACTGTTCAAACGAAATACATAATGATAAAACAACGATACTGGAGTCTCTGTTATATGGTGATCCATATAAATGTAAAATGGATATGTTTAATTTAAAAAGGCTATTGTGCCTTTAAGGATTGTAAATGGGGATTATAAAAATCTTTTTGTTTCAGTTTTTCCGAACACAAACGTTTGCGTCATGAAAAATTATATGAAAATTTAAAGGGATACTTCACCAAAAAAAAATTAATTCTGTCATTATTACCCTCGTGTCGTTCCAAACCCAAACCTAGCTACCACTTTTAGGCTATGCTACAAGAAGTTCATATTTGATAAATATAAACCACTAAAGTAACATCTATGTGTTGTAATATTAAGCCTAGCGTCAGTTCTGGCAGGTCACAAGATGGCATGAGCTGATCCACATCTACCGATAGGAATACACGCCTACCGATAGGAATACACGCCTACATATAAGCTCCTTCAGTATTATCAGCAGCTTTCACGTTTCTCAGGAGCCAATTACCTCCTCCATCCCCAGCTCCTTTATCTAAATTTGTCATGCAGTCAGGATTTGGCACTGAATCAGAATAAATTCTTGAATTATGTTGTACTTTAAAATCTTGAATTAATTATATCTGCATTCAAATTGGTTCTGTTCTGCTTACCCTAAGGGGGGGTTATCGCTGCTCTTAACTGCTAGGCTACATTGGATGGATGCGCAGGGAGTTCTCGCCCAGAACGGAACCACCGCCAATCCAAACTGTATGCTAATTGACAATCGTATTTGAATCGTGGTCCTGACAGAACTTATATTTCAAAACAGAAGATTCTTTTATTATAGTAATACCTTTTCACTGCCAGTTTAAGCCATGTTTACACTGACAGCGATTAAAGCAGTGAAATATACTGTCGTCTGACTAATATGCATTGACTTCACAGACAATCTGTGTTCTCTTTTGGTATAGGCTCTATGCACGAACCCTGCTGACATGTGTCCGAAAGAATCTCAGTCAGCTTCTTTACTTCCGCAAGTGCGTTCTGCAGGCAAGTGTTTAGCGGCAAAACTTTAATAAAATCCGTTTTCTCAGAAACACAGACAATGATTTTAGAAACGCTGATTCGCTAGTCGGATTTCATACGATATGAGAGAATACTCACCCTCAACGTTGTTGATATAGCTCGAAATATTTCATTTAAATAACTTCTCTTTTTTACTCTTGTGTGACAGCTAACTGCCTCACAGTGTTGTTAACATCATTCACGTTAACCGCAGGACGTATTTATAAACTACAAGTGTAATTTGACACTATCTCCACCTAACGCAAAACCGGCTTCTGACGCAGCACCGGATGTAACCGGATGTAACTGGGCGTACTGAGACAAACCCGGAAGCGATCGTATACATATTACACTTGCGTCGCTACTCATTTGCATAAATTAAAATTGACAGCTTTTTTTCTAAATCAGCATCTCTCTTTGAAAACAAAAGACTGTCTGATATGGCAGGTTTGCTACCCCATTTTTGTCAGTGTGAACTCCCCTTTAGGCTTTACTGAGTCATTGAAAATAAGCAAACAAAGTTTTGACACCAGTATTAAATGTCTGTAGTGATTAATAGAGGATGTATACTTGCAGAAAGCAGCATACGAATGGATTAAAAGGCTTCAGACTTCATTAACTTGTGTCTGTGTTAATGACATAAGCTGCAGTCACAGTAGTGATGACTGGCTCATCTTGCACTACTGCTGGTGAGTGTCATCTACATCTCAGATTAATGAAGCCCGTGTTCAACAGGGTGTTCAAAAACTCAATGTGTGAGCTGTAGGACCATCTGGTACCATCACAACTTTCTTCTTAAACCAAAAATATTTACCCTCTGTCTACATTTTCATTGGTCTATAATTGTTATTCTTTGTGTAGAACGCAGTGTGGCAACTAAGGCAATTCAAGTCCACTTTTCACTTTATTCAATTCAAGATTCACTTTTCACATTATTATGCACTAATGACTTAATAATCACAGGCTCTGTAAAGCAGCAGGGCGTGCTGCAAAGCCTAAGAGAGAGCCAAGATAATTAAACTTGTATTCAAGATAAATAAATGATGAAACATCTACTGAAAACACAGAGAAAGACAATAATTATGTGAGCGTGTGTGCGTACAAACTTCTGACGAACATTTTCAAGGACATTGGCACAAAATCCTTAATTACCTGCAATCAAATTAACAAATGTTCATTAGCCATGTTAGAATGCCATAGACTGCTCATTATGAATTCATACGATACGCTATTGTCATTAACATTATCATTCACACACTGTGTACGCATCAGCATTAATGCAGCCTATTGGATGAGTTCAATTGAGTCATAGAGTTGATGTTGGCTAGAATGCAACAAAAAAAAGAGAATTGCAAATGTTTGACAACATGGATTTTTATTAATAAGTGAAGGCTCTATAAATCTAAGAGTGACATGACTATTTACACATTAGTTCAAGTTGGTATTTTTGTAACCTTGAAGGGTCAGGAAACAGCACCGTTAAAGCACCTGTTATGTAACAACCAACCATAAATCTGTCCAGAGTTTTAATGTCCTATTATGTGCTACCTTGAGTATCTATATATGTAATAAACTTACTTATATCCTCTCATTTTTAATTCCTTGATACCTGCACTCTGCTAGTTTTAGATACACAAAGAATATGAATATTCAAGTTAAAAGTCATTATGAAGCAGTCAGAAACATATAATGCGCAAGTACGCAAACTCAGATGTGACTGAATATGGACACTGCAAAAAAATATTTTTCTTTTGTTTTCCAAATTACTTGAGACTAATTTTCTGGAAAATATAAATTAAAAAAAATCCTAATTATGTGAGTTTATACTTAAAACAATAACTAATATCTGCCAATTGGGTATGAAAAAAAAAGAAAAACAGTTTTCTCTTTGAATTTAGTTTATTTTACTTACCCCATTGGCAGATTTTTGTCTTGTTTTAAGCTTAAACTCACTTATTTTTCATGTTTTTTTCAGAAAGCAAGACTTAATATCTTAAGTCCTTCTCATGTATCTTGATTTTGTCTGTGCCTTTAAAATAGACATGACATTATCCAGGTACATAGTTGATCTGAAATAGAAAACTTACTGTAAAATACACTAATTTCAGCCACAGCAACACTGAATACAACACATACTTTTAGTCTGATGCATAAAAAAAAAAAAAATAACATGTGAAATCAAACTTATTTAACTAAAATCATTTGTGTCCATGTACTTGCGTAGAGTATGCTTTGGCCCTGAATGTATTTTGTGCTCAGAAAACTGCATCCCTCGGTTAAAGAATGGCATGGATTAACTAACAACGGTCAAGGCAAAAAACCCTTCATGGTTTGCGGTGCGTTTCCCTCCAGTTCTTTTCTGCATAGAAGTTTAGGTCTTTTTGTGCTTATTTTTGTATTTTTCACATGGCAGGAACTTGGCTTTAGCGGCAAAGAAGTGAAGAAAATGTGATAGAATGAAGCCATACAAAGACAGCGAGAACAGAACAGTAATAACAGTACTACAAAACACAGGCAAGAGCTTGCTGGTGTTCAGCCCATATACGAGAGTAGCACACCTTACACAGAGTGCTTTAGGGTTAGTGTGAGAGCGTTTCCTCTTTCCTCATCAGATCAACACAAACCTGTAGTGAGAGAGAGAGAGAGAGAGAGAGAGAGAGACCAGAGTTAATTTATGTGTACAATGCGGGTCATCTTTACACATCTGCTACATGCACATGTTAAATCCCATTTTGAAAAATAGGAAAAATGCTAAAATATATATATATATTTTAATTTATTTAAAACATTTATTTATTTCATGTGATGACAAAGATTTTAATATGCTAATTTGGTGTTCAAAAAACATTTCTTATTAATATCAATGTTGAAAAAAGTTGTGCTGCTTAATATTTTTGTAAAAACCATGATATCATTTATTCAGGATTTTTTTGATCAATAGAAAGCTAAAAAAAACAACATTTTATTTAAATAGAAATCTTTTCATAACATTATGAATGTCTTCAAATTTGATGCATTCTTGTTAAATAAACATATTAATTTGTACTGACCCTGATTTATTTCTGAATCTGTAATGTTTTTACCTGTGTATTTTTTTTTTCAATATAGGCATAAGGCTTTTTAAAATAGGAGAATCATGATGCATTGGTGAATAACATGCCTTGCAAATACGCTTTCAGAACTAAAAACAGACACCTTTTTTGTCCAAAAGGACACTTAGATCTTCGGCTTTAAATTAGTCTTAAAGTTATAGCACTAAAGAATAAAAATGTTATTGTGCCTTTAATGCTTTTAATATTGTGATTTTGATGCCCCCTTAGTACTAACATCATAACTACTTCCTTAAAATCGTTATGACACGGAAGGCTGGGAATTGATTGGATTGTTGTGGTTTGCTATGGACCCTTTTCACAGACTGATAGAAGTGACTAGTAATTTTTTTTTTTTTTTTTCAGAATACATTTATAATGCTACACTTTGTATTATATTATCTTGGCGGTTAATAAAATAAAAAAAACTAAAAACAGAATTATAACTGCTGCAAGGGTGTTTACAATACAAATTTCACATAATCTCTCGATATTTTTCCCCTCCTTCAGGGAGTCGTGGATAAGTTACAAATTACAATTGATTTTTTTTCTTTTGCTATTGGAGCAAATTGGTATTAAAATATTATATTTTTGCTGTAATCTCCCGTTTTATAGACATGTATAGACATTTACCCAACTATGACGACTTTCGTTTCTGAGAAACCAGAAAAGGTAAAAATTGTCCATTGCTGTGATCTTATGTATGGAGGCTTGTTTCCACCACAGAATAAAACATTTTAAAAGATTATTGCGAATTTTCATCTCATAATTGCGAGTTTACATTTCGCAAATCTGAATTTATTTCTCAGAATTGCGAGATATAAAGTCATAATTGTGTGTTATAAAGTCAGAATTGCATGATATTACCTTGCAATTGCAAGAAATAAACAATTTTTCTTGCATGTCAGCATTGCGAGTTCATTTCTTGCAATTGCGAGTTTATATCACGCAATTCTGACTTTATAACTCAAATGTTATTAAAAAAAACTCAAAATTGTGAGATAAAAAGTTGCGATTACCTTTTTTATTTTTTATTCTGTGACGGAAACAAACTTCCATACTCATATGTGAGTAACAGGTTGAAGACTATCATCAGTGATGAGAAGAGATTACGTTGTGAGAGGGAAGGTGAGATATTTTGATTAAAGATTATGAGGGCACTTAAAAAAAAAGATGTGCTCAAATAAATCATTTTATCATGAACACTGCAATGTTCCATAAACATTCACATGGTGAATTTAAGGAAAAAAATTAAATTACACTATACAATATTGATGTTTGCAGAACACAATAACAGTATAACAGCAGTGCTCCAGTCACTGTACCTTCACACTCGAACGCCTTCAGAATAGTGGTGTAACTGGGCCCCAGCCAGGAAGTGTAGGTCCCCATAACACGCAGCAGCTTTTTGGTGGAATCGCTGAACAGCACATCAGGCTGCCCATAATTCACCGAGCTGAACAATGAGAATCCTTCAGTGGCATTAGCAAATGCATTCTAGAAGACAGAAACACATACAATAAAATAAAAAAAGAGAAAATGCAATCAAATGGAATTTCTGGAATACTAGAAGCAAAGCAAATCAAAGACAGGAGTGGGTGTTAGTTTGAAATATGTATATGCATATTGTTTCATTTTCAAATATTGGATGTTCTCAACAATCTTTGCTCATATCTTGGCACTGTGGTTTGCTCAGTATGTGTGTGCGTGCGTGCTAGTCCTGCTCTGGGATTTTAGAACGGAGCTCAATGTAGTCTCATCCTTCCCTAATGACACACTGTAATGTGAGACGGTGTCTTGTGAAAATCAATGATCACCACAGGGCTCAGGCTGGATGTATTGAATGCATAAGTGTAATCTGTGTAATACTCCGGACGTTCACAGATACTATTGTTAATATGGGTTTTGGCGGGGTCCGTTTACCGTAATCATACCGTTGACTGCTAAATGTGCTGGAACAATATTTCCAATCAGATTTCCATGCTCTGTATTGTACAAAGGGGATTCTTCTTGTTCTGTTTTTTTTTACTGTTTTTATATTATTTCATGGATAATGTCATAAAAAGTGAATCAAACCTGATATCTACAGACTGTGTAACTGTCTGGCAGTACAAATGTCATTATATAATCCGTGGCATGCCGCATTACTACTGTGTGTGTGTGTAGCAGTGTTATTTTTGTATCACTGAGATACTATTATAGGTTTTATTGAATCAGTTTCATTTTTTTGTTTTCATTTTTCTGTTTGATCATTTTTAACCATTTTATTTTAATAGTTTTTCTTTCAAACATGCCTATTTAGTTTTAAAAACGGGAAGTGTTGCCTTGCAACTATTTATTTATTTATTTATTTATTTTTCAAATAACAAAAATTTTTTTTTATGGTTTCATTTTTAGTTATAGTATAATGTAACTGTAATAACCCTGGTGTGCAGTACAATGCAGTCCAAAAATCTTAAGACCACTAGTTCTGATTTAATACAAAAGTCTCTACATTAAAAATTATTAGCATTAAAATTTTCGTCAAATGTTACACATTTAAAGTAGGCAATGTTCTAGAAAATGTAGGCGAAGGTCAAAAACTACTTTTCGACATAACTACTACCACTAAAAGTAGTGCAGAATCTTAAATACTTCTTCATTTCACACAATAATACATTTCTTTGACTTTTTTTCCTAGGCTTAATCCTGGATTTTCTAAGTGTTCTCAGACATTTGGGCTCCAATGTGTGACTGTGTGGCCTTCTCTCCTGACCTGCACACGTTCCAAGAACTTGTAAACGCGGCATTTGTCCTCCAAACGTACTACCACAGCATTGGTTGGCACTTCGGCCAGGTGGCAGTGCTCATGCTGGAACAGGTTCGCTTCACTCCCGTCAGGACACAAGAGCTTCAAGTCTTCCAGCTCCAGGTCCAGCGCCCAGGACTCCTGGTTCTTACCTTACATGAGTATTAAGCCAAAGGTTATTTACAGATGGTGAAATTTCTAAAGCAGGAGGCATGATGGTATCCAACATTTGAATTAAACTTTTAAATAAAAAGTAAGGAAGCTTGCAAGTCACGCCAGATTTTTGTAAAAACTATATAGATGATATTAAACCCATTTATAATCCTTGAACTTGGCTAACAGGGTTTATTGAGACTAAAGGGTTTCACAGATCCCAGCAGGCACACAAAGTGATGCATTGTTATGAAATACTGCCCCCCTGTGTCTGTCAGCCAGTGAAACATGATACAGATCATGAAGTAAAGGCTACAATTGTCCTCTTTCACTTCCTTAAAAAAAAAATCCATTTAATAAGAAACCAACTTGAAATCCTTACTGCATCTGGACATTAACCAGCTCTTTTACGCTCTACATTACTTACCCTGCATGTTGTCGAAGACTGTAGTGTGCTTAACAAAAGCAACATCCCGAGATTCTCTGCCACACACCTGCATGTTTTAAATAATAATAATAATATATAATAACACGTAAAAATTGTTCAAAACTATTTTTAGGAAATTGATACTTTTATATAGGATGCGATAAACTGAGAATGACTTTCTGTTCATCCAACAATTTTCAACTAATAATAATAAGAAAAAAAGGTTTCATGAGCCATAAATCAGCAAATGAGTATGATTTCTTAAGGATCTTGTCACACAGAAGACTGGAATAATGTCTTTTTTGCTATTACAGAAAAAATAATAATAAAAATGATATATTAATGAAATAGAAAACAGTTATTTTATTTATTTTTTTAATTAAAAAAAGTTTCAATGAAAAATAATATTTCACGATATTAATGGTTTTGATTAAATAATTGGAGCCGTGGTGGTGAATTTTCTTTTTAAAAAAGAAAAAAAGAGGTCTGTAAGATTTTTTTTCATAAAAAATCTTACTGACCCCAAATTTGTGATTGGGAGTGCATAAATATATGTATACATATATACTGTAGCAGTTTGTTCTCAAGAAACCATTAAGCAATCCAATATTCTGGCTTTACAAAGAATATATTTATATTTTGAATAATGGTTCACTGAGACATATGCATTCTCT